GGGCCCGCCGAAGCCGAGAGACGGGCCTTGACGGGGGCAGCAGAGCTGTGAACCCCCGCGGGTTGTGCTCCAGGGGAAATACTGAGGGGATAGCACAGGGAGACCGATGTGAAGGCTGAGGCTGCGTAGGGCCGAGTGGGTGTTTCGTGTTTGTTTTTCCACAGACCCCTCTGTGGGGCTTTTTCTGTTAGGCTGAAACACTGCCGTGACACTTGAGCCTTCACAACACCAGTAGTTAGCATTGGTTAGAGTAATAACGAGTGTTTTCGAGTATAGCAACAGGTGAAGTGCTATTTTAAAAGAATGCATCATGCTGCCTGGATGTAGCAGGGGTACCTTCTTTGTCAACATATTAAATGACTTCTTCCACATGAGAGTACTTGAAATTGCTCATTAGGAGATTAGACCAACATAGACCAACTCCTTTTTGCCTCGCTTGTACACAGGGTTTATGTGGAAGCAGCTGATGGTTGTCCATAAGAAACACAGATAAAATTATTAATGGAGATTTCCACACTCACATACAAATCCAGCTGTCGTCAGATGCTTGACATCCGTGTTACCACAGTCAGGTGTGTTTCACAGTTACTTGTCTCACAGTTGTCAGCCCTCTGCAAATAGTTGACTGTGGTACTCCATCTTTAAAATATACTTTGTCCAAGTAGCATAGCTTTAAAAAAAAACAAACCCACAACATGGAAAAATCCGCTTTCAGAATTTTAGTCGATACAGTTGCACACGTGGTATTTAGTGGTCTAAGGATTTGAACACGGAATTCTCAGAGTTGGAAGGGACATCTGGAGATCATCTAGTCCAACCCCCCCGCTAAAGCAGGATCCCCCAGAGCACATTACTCAGGACTGCATGCAGGCAGGTTTTTACTATCTCCAGAGAAGGGGACTCCACAACCTCCCTGGGCAGCCTGTTCCAGTGCTTTGTCACCCTCACTGAGAAGAAGTTTTTCCTCATATTTAGATGGAGTTTCCTTTGTTCCAGCTTGTGCCTATTGGCCCTTGTCCTCTCACTGGGAACTACTGAAAAAGAGTCTGGCTCCAACCTCCTTGCACTACAGTAGAAGTAAGAGGAATTCTCACCCAAGCCCTAACAGAAGAATTAACAGCAAAAAGCTATGCAAGATGTTACTATGATGCAGCTACCTTAATCTTGACACATATCATCTTGAGGCCTTTTTTTATGTTGTTTCTCATTCCCGTTTGTGGTGCCATCATGCATTTGGAAGGCTGTTTGTCAGGTTGGAAAAATGAGTTGCCTTCAATTTAGAAGATTTGGATTATGCAGAAGCCAGCGTGGGCATCTCTGAAATGAAAAACCTATTTGTCAGCTCACAGTCTAGTTAATGAATGCCACATGTAATTACCATTTGAAAATTAAATAGAAAACTGATAGGTATAAGATGGGTTAGGTTATAGATGTGAGCCAAGAGTATGAAGTGTTTGGAATTATTTTTAGCAGTAAGTTGAAGCATTTATGTGCACAGCCCCTGAGTATACATAGAATTAGGTTTAAAATTACTGGTTTATAAATGTGGTTTTTTTCAGTGTTCAGAATAAGGTTCTCTACAACATGTACATTCTCCAGCATTTTTACTTTTTTTAAAGCATATCTGCCTTTTCAGTTATTAAAATTATGTGGCATAACTAACTACTTGGTTGTTTGTAACCTTACCTGTTGTGATCTCTGTCAGTTCTGAACAAAGATCTTGGGTTCTGAAGGGTTTTTTCCTCTCTCTTTTTTTGGAGAATGTAAAGGAAAAATTTGAATGTTTTTTTTTATAATGTTTAGTAGACAGGGTGGATCAAGAGGTTTGTACAAAGTGATGTTGCCTAAATTAATAGTTAACTCTTCCAAAACTACTCCTGATACAGCTGTGCATGTTTGCTTTTGCTCAGCGGTAACTCTGGAAGCAGGAAATCTTCGAGTCTTTGGGTTTTTGACTACTAAGGTAAAAAGTCTGTTACAATTGAATTGGCATCGTGGTCTTCTACAAAGTAATTGTTTTAATTTATGGTGGGTTGTTTGTTGTTGTTTTATTTTTCTTACAGTCCTTTAAACTCCTAGGATTTCTTGATGTTAAAAGTGTCCCGTGTGCACGAGAGTCAGTGCTCTATGGCTCCGTGGGATCTTTAGTTGTGGGCCTTGGACATTTTGTAGCAACTAGTAAGTACTTATTCCTTCTGGGTTTTATGTTTTGCTTTGTAAGGAAAAATTAATTCCTAGTTGCTTTTTTAGTAATGGGAATTAATATTGGGAGTTAATAATGTTGTATTAATAATGGGAAGTCATCCAAGAATTTTTTTCTAGTCTTTTGAAGGATTTTTGTTTTTTTTCTTTCAGGTAGAGTTAGAAGATCTTGTGACTTTGCAGTTGGTGGCTTTATTTGCACAATGTTAGGATACTGGTATGTAAATCTTCTTGAATTTTGACAGAGCTATGTTTTCTGCTTTGTATAACATGATGCCCATGTGACCTCTTACTGTTTTTTAAACTCCTTAAAAAACTTGCCTAGCAAAGTATCTCTTCCTCTCCTCAAAATACTTTTTTTTTTTTTTTAAAGGAAAGGAGTTCAGTGCCTCTGAATTTTTATGTTATATTTTTAAAACTTGCTGTTGTTTCTTGGACCCTAAGAGATCAAACCACCCAGTTATTTCTGTCTTTCTTACTTATTTCTTTTTTCCTTCACATAGGCCATCCTTCCATCCTAATTATAAAGGCAACATACTAAATGGTCATGAAATTAAGATCCAAATTACAGAAATTGGTGTTTTCCATTGGACCTGTATATCCTGCTTGTCAGTGGCTGTATAATGTTTGCCTTAAATACTCTAGTATTTTCATTATGCATAATTTTATAATTAATTTTACAAGCATTATTATATGTGGCGTCACTTTTCAACTGGCTGAATAACTGATTTGCTGCTGCCACTCATGTAAAGCAGGGAATCATGTTTTCTTTTCATCGCCTTCTCTAGGTTTTACTGCAGGTACAATTTGGCCCAACAGAGGATCCGGCAAAGAATGATTAGAGAAGGAATGAGAAACAAACTTTTATATGAAGGCAGTTCTCTTGATCCAGAGAGAAAACAAACTGGCAATGAAAGAAGTGATTCATAGTCTGCTACAGAGGAATCTGTGATCTAATACAGCTTTGGGAGAAGGTGGTTCAAAAATGTGTTCTCTGTAAATGTATGAGGTGCCTAAAACTGATAAATCATGCTGATTTTCCTAGCAAATCCAAGCAAGAAATTCATGGTGAGTCTGTTAAGTCAGTATACAAGCCTTTCTTTGTTTCATAGGTGTATGTATGTATGTGACTGTGTACACAGTTAGGAATGACCTATTAAACATCTGGGAACTGGTGTGTTCTATTACAGGGTCTCGGGATTGATGGCAAATTGGGATGGCTTTAACTTCCGTTATAGACATAATGGTTCATTTTGGCAATTGTAATTACATCTCATTCAAATATAGGAAAATATTTTAATCAGCTGTTCTCTGAATGAATGTGTCCTTCAGTGCTACTGCTACTTCTGTTTGTAAAACAGAAATATTTTACCTGTGGGTGAAGGCTTTGCTTGTGCAAGGTGGGTGATACCAGTAGCCTTTGTAAGATTTCAGCAACAGAAGAACTTCAGATAATTTATATACACTGTGCACTGTGAAGTTGAAGCTTTTCCATTTTTGTTCTGTCTGTGCGAAAAACTAAGAATAAAATCACACTTCAGAAGCAGTCTAAGCTATGTAAGTAGTCACTCTTTTTACTTGATTAAAACACTCCCTATTCTATTAAATACACTTCCTTACAATTGGTGAATTAGTAATTCATGTTATTTGTAAGTAGCAATGATTAGTAGGATTTTTTTTTAAAGGCATATTATGTTTATTGGTAAAAATATGAGTGATGGCATATCATTCCTTGCTTGCTTCTGTCTATACCAGTGAAACAATGTGCCTACTTTTTTTTACCAAAAAAAAAAAGAGATCTTACAGGACTGTTTTTGCTAAGTCAAAAAGAGCTTACATCTTAATACACTACAAAACAGACCTTTCCCCTACCCAGTCTTTAGTCTGAGAGAGCTTGTGATCTGTTGTTAAGTAGGTGTGGGGAGGTTTGGGAATCCAGATGTAAAAAGCAGCATTGGTCTGCTTATTAAATTGGGAAACATACATGAAAGCACTAATCAAACATGCTGTTTACACTGAGATAATTAAACTTTTACCCTTTCTGGATTATCCTCTTACGAGAAGAAAACAAACCTGTATGCTCTGTTTCCTTTTCTTCCTTGATTCTTCCTGTTTCTTCTGGAGGAAAAAAGACAACATTCATGGAGGACATTCAGTTCACTAGTTTTATATAAGAAGTCAGCAGAAACCTTGAATTAGTGCAAAGAGAAACACTTTCTGTCCTCACTGCAAAATCTCAACTTGGAAGTTAGCTGGTACCTAACTAATTCAGTAAAGAAAAATGTTCCCCCTGGTTCTGTGCTGAGGGGCACGGAGGCTCCTTCCTTCTGGACAGGGTAGGAGGTGTTAGCACATAAAGCCCTTGGAGCAGTGGTGTGAAACTGGGCAAGGCCTTAGCAAGCTTCTATTTTAATACATGGTTGAGTTCTTTCCTATCTGACCTAAGAAAAGGAGCTGCAACCTAAGCAGGGGGTCTTTTCTCTGTGAGGTCATAGTTCAGCTGGGGAGTTAGGAAACAAAAGCATGCAGATGAAAATTTATTCTTTGGCAAAGAGCAGTTGCAGAGAAAGAATAGAATACTGTTTGGTATTGGTAGGAAAGAAGTTAGCATGCATATAATAGCATCCTTCAAAATGTACATGACTATGTCAAGAAAAAAATGAACACCATCACACTGTTTAAATGAAAAAAATCTTGAGGAAAGTGCAGCATAAGATCCTCTCTGGTGTTAATTGGTGTTGCTTTAAGCTACTGTATTTAAGGATATTAACTCAATAGCAGCTTAACTACAGTATTAGCAATTCTGCCAATAACTGAAACTTTAGATGTATCTGTGACGCCTGGAGAACTGATCTAATTCTTTCTCACTGCAAAAGGTAAAATGAGTGCCAGATGTTAAGAGAAAAATGGGGAAAGAGGCAATATGCAGGCAGTTTGGCTGACACGTCTGAGCTTTATTTAGTAAAAGTTGAGGTGGAATTGAGCTAACCAGAGCTTTTGCTGAAGGGGGTGAGGGTGTTAAGATAAAGAAGCTGTGAGCAGAACTCGGTGTGAAAGGGTTGGGTCTGCAAGGGGGAAAGGGGAAAGAATGTTCATAGTTAAACATGCAGGGAGAAAAAAATAAGTCTGACACAATTCCTTGAACACTGGCTTCAGCTGCTGCTGTGCCAGCTATGGAAAGTGGATTGAAAGTGACTGATGGGTTGCAGACACCTGTTGTAAGGGTGAGAGACAGGACAAAACCAAAAAATCTCAAAGATGTTGCTTGACGTAGATTAGGATAAATTCACAAGAAAGTAAAATTATAATAACTTAATAGAAGTAATTTTAACATTTGAGAACAATTCCCTAATTTTTTTAAATCAGTGAGCCATATCCCTATTAATGTTATATTTTTGAATCCAAGTCATCAGTGGAAACGTAACATACATCTGTGTTTTATTATCGTACTTGATATATTTCAGTTTTGCTCCAAATGACAGATGTGATAGTTCTTGCTTTATTGAGGTTCAGAATATTCCTCAAATTAAAATTTACTGGACAGTGAGGAGAAAGGAAGAGCAATAGTAATTTTGAAGATATTTGGGTTTCAGCCCTCTGGATGGACCTTAGAAAGGAGAGAATGAAGCACAGAAACTTTAACCTATACAGTTGCTAAAATCCTGTTTATTTGACTGTCAGCTGTGTTTCTTGATGACTGACAAGCACACTTAGGTCTTATCCCTGAAGTTAGCAGAGCCCTCCCTGAAAGCAGTCTAAAATCCCACCAAAATAAACAGATGGGTTTATGGCTCCACACCCCTACTCTGGTGATAGGGTGTTTGCAGACCCCCTCCCAGCCAGAGTCCATGCTCAGGGGTCCCAGCAGTGACCAGACTGCACCAGATGAGGGTGCATGCCCTCCAGACCTTTCAGGAAGGAAAGTCACTGTCAAGGCAACAGGCTGAAATGCAGCAATCTAAGATTAATTGCCAGCGCCATTATTAGAGGTGTGCATGCCGAGGTCACCTCTGCTCTTCAGTGCCTTTCACTAAAGCAAATGTAATGCTTCAGCCATTGACAGTTGAAACAGGCTCAAAACCCAGGAACTTCTTTGGATTTGACAGTGGCTGCAATTACAAGTGCCATCCCAGACTCGTCATTTATGTCTTCACCCAAGCAGAGGTTTTTGGGAGATGTTGGCTCTCACTGCATTTTGCAGTCTGCCAAGCTATTCTCCCCATGTCACCACCCCCCCAACAAGTCCCTGACTGCTGCAAAGGAATGGTCACCTCCTGTCATTAACAAATGAGGCTGGCATTTCAAATCGTTCTCCCTGACAAAAGTTAGGATGATTTTTAGGTGGAGGAGGAAGAATGTTACTTCTGTTGTAAGCAGCTCCAGTAACAATCAAGTACTGTGTGAACTCAGTTATAATGAGCTCCCAAGTGAAAGATTTTCCCCAGCTTAGGAGACTAATTCCCATGCTTCTCATTCCCATATCCAGGTGTTTAACTCAAGAGTTCAGTGGTTACCAATGAAAGTTGCTTGGTTTGCTCCAGTTAATATTTGAAACAAATATGTTGTTACTGCCTTGAAAAACTGATCAAAACAGGTTTTACAGTATGTTCACATGATCAAGAAGATGAGCCTGAATGATACAAGAAAATATATACAATTATGTACAGATATGTTCAGGAATGGGCAAAAGCCTCTCGCCTCCCCCCACCCTCAGCAACTCCCACAGCACTTCCCTGAACTGGGAAGAGTCCCGAGGAATCCCGGAGCTGCTGCTGGAGAAAGCAGAGAGTTATGGGGGTCACGAGAGATCAAGCCTGAGGATCGACGGTGATGGATGGACAGAGTCCTCCCTGGACGCCGGCCATGGACGGAAGAGAAGGGGAGAAGGAGAAGGAAGGAAGTTGTCTTCTGTGATCTCTGACCTTCCTCTGAGCTTACGTAGATATATGGAATGGAATATCTTTGGCCAATTTTGCTGTCTGTCTAACTCAGCCTCCTACGGGGGGGTCACAGATCTCCCCATAGTGTCTGAGCCGGCAGAGTGCAGGTGCAGCCTTGAAGCCTCAGTAGTTAGAAAAACATTCCACTGTCTTATCAGCCTAGCAGAACACACTGTTGCTAGTTACAAGAAAGCTTACTGAAGGAAAAAAAAATCAGTAAAAAGAAAAATTGGCTTCATCCTGGCTCAAACCAGGACAGCCTTTGATTTAGATTTTTTTTAATTGAAGAACCAGGAATGAATTAATGCCAAAAGTGGAGCTGAGTTTTAATTGGTGTGACTCAAAGCCTTGGAACATATATCCTTCTTATGCTTAAAATGAAAATCTTACACAAAGCAAATATGGCTGCTAAACCTTCAAATTGAGGCAGGGGAGCAGGCTGATGAAGAGAAGTTAGAACCTTGGATGAGATGATTTGAGGAAAACACAGACTTTTATTCATGGCTAGCAGCACCCCTAAGGCTGTTTGTACACTCCCACATTTTCACACACTCTCTATTTTCTTCTGCTGAGGCTCATAGTTTGCCTGGGTGCCATCCAGCAGTGGGTCTGCCTGCTCCTGCAGGAATAGGTCACAGCATCCCTGTAACTGCTTGTTATAAAGATTGAAAGCAGTTCATTCTGAGGAAAATATTTTAGTCCTGCCAGCTTCTGTAATTTATCATGAGCAAGACTTTGTCAAATCCCTCAACTTTCCCGAATGTTCCAGGAGCCCACTGGCAGTACCTAAAGTGTAGTGTGGGAGCAGACAATTACCAGGGCAGGGTTCTTTCTCTTTAGACTGGCTCAGCTCTAAAAATACTCAGCCTGTATATTGTGGTGATAAATTTAACAGACCCAGAGATTCCCCCTCTCTCTCTTCATGCCTTGAAAATGCCTGAAACACAGGCCTTGCTTCTTTTTTTTTTTTTCACTCTGTGTTTATTTTGT